TAATAATTCGTTATTCGGTATGTTCTTTTAATGATAGTCGATACCGAATGTTGTTCATTATTGAAGTGTAGTTTTCAAAAATTGAATGAAATATATTTTATCCTAATTAAAAAGAAATATTTTCGAGCAAAAGTGTTACAGAAAATAGTTACATTAGTAGATCATGAAAGTGAGAAAAAACCAACTGCCATATTTCATTGTGACCAACTAATTGGAAATTAAAAAACAAAAGCATTAAATTCTTTATCGATTTTTATTATGCATAGGTTGCCCTGTTTCATGGTATGATTATTTTCATTCTTGTGATATATGAAAACAAGATTCATTTATAAGTGAGAGTAAAGCATACTATCATGTCCGATCCTGTAGACGCCGGTAATCTTGAAACATTCAGGATTTTATGGCTAGATGCTTTGATAAATAACAACGAAAACAAAGCAGCACAAAAACAATTGCGAACTGTGATCAATCACGTGAAAACATTTGAGGATCCTGTCGATTTTCTCCATGGTGTTCGACATAGCACACAAACTGATCGACTAGTTGTGATTGTGAGTGGTCGATTTAGTCACCATGTCATTCCTAAAATTCATCCACTAATACAAGTAATATCAATCTATATTTATTGTATGAACAAATCACATTATGAGCAGCATACTCAATCATACAATAAAGTGAGTAGATGTACAAAAAATTGATCAACTGTATATGGATGTGCTGTAGGTAAAAGCCATATGCGTAGAATTGAACGAGCTCGTTCATCAAATTCGACTGGATCATAAAAATTTGTCAATTATGGATGATCAACTTCCATTTAACATATTCTCAATGAACGAAAATGATGAGCAATCGTCCATTGAATTGAATGGTCAATTTTTATATTCTCAATTACTAATTGATGTTCTAATGCAGATAAAACCGAATGAAAAAGATAAACGCGAATTGATCACATTGTGTCGAAAATCATACAAAGACAATGAGAAAGAGTTAGATAATGTGAATAGATTCGACCGAGAATATTGCCCATCACAAGCGATCACATGGTATACCAGTGACTGCTTTTTGTATCGTGTTTTGAACAAAGCATTGAGAGTACAGAACATAAATATTTTATATTTATTTCGTTCGGTAATTCTAGACATCAACGAACAATTGAAACAAGCTCAAGCGCAGAAACATATACGAGTATATCGCGGTCAGCTAATGTCGAACGAAGAGTTGGATCGACTTCGTTGCTCTGTAGGCAAATTTATATCAATTAATTCGTTTTTCTCCACGAGCTTGAATCGTGATACAACTCTTCTATTTCTTACAACAGGCATCTATGCGAACGAGCACAATCATGACAAATGCTTTGAGAGTGTTTTATTCGAAATTGATGCTGATCCTGTAGTGGTGATGTCGAATTCATGGAATAGGCCATTTGCAAATATTAGCACTTTCAGTGAGTTTCCGTCCGAGGATGAAGTGTTGTTTATGCTCGGCTCAATATTTCGACTAGATGATATTAGCTATGATCAATCATCAGCAACAGTTTGTAATACTTTGAAGACAGTCAAAATCATTCGAATGACATTATGCAATGATCAGGAGAAAGATCTCGAACAACTTTATACAGTCATGAAAAAATATTTTTCAAAAGCACAGACAAATAATCTCTTATTCGGTAAACTTTTGGTTAAGATGGGCAAATTCAATATGGCTGAAAATTATTTGTGTCGATCGCTTGGTGAATTTACATCGAATGATCCATCGCTAGCTGATCTATATCATTTGATGGGTATGGTTGCAGGTGCACAAGATAATTATAATGAGAGTCTTGAGTGGCATCGAAAATCACTCACAGTATGCGTTCAAGCATGCGCAGCCGATCACGTTAACATTGGTAATTCATATAATAGTATGGGAATTGTGTATCGAAAGAAAGGTGAACGCATTCGAGCTCTAGATTCTTTCAATGCAGCTGTATCGTTGTTCGAGCAAGCACACCATGAGAATCATCAAGACATGGCTTTATTGTATGGGAATATTGGTAACATCTATCAAGAACAAAAGAAATACGAGGATGCCCTTAAATTTGATGAGAAATCATTAGCTATTAAAACGAAATATTTTCCTTGTGTTCATGCAGATATAGGTGCCTCGTATGCCAATATTGGAGTCATCTATCGTTGTCTCGGTCAATATGATCAAGCATTAGACTATTACAAACGATCACTTGAAATTCAATTGAAGTCACTTCCTTCTGAGCATCTCGACATTGCAACTACATGTAAGAACATAGGTATTTTGTATAAACATAAAACTGAATGGAAACAAGCATTAACGTATTTTGAGAAAGCATCAAAACTTTTTCATAAATTGCTTCCGTTACAACATCCGAATGTTACCAAAATTAATACTGCCATTCAGTATGTTTCTTGTCAACTCAATATGCAATCGATATTGTGACGATGGATGAAGTGTGAATAATATGTATTGCTGAGTGACATCCAGTAACTATTTTTTACAATATATTATATTAATAAAAGAGTGACTGCAATTCTATGAGTGCGGATGCTGAAGGTGTGGATTTCGAATAGACACATGCGGGGCGGGGGGGGGGGGGGGGGGGGGGGGGGGGGGGGGGG